TATGGTAATAAAATTTAGTCAAAATACTTCATAACTATGGCAAAAAAGCGATTGCCAGATCAGCTAGTTTATTATAAAATATGAATCGATCATCGTAAGAATAAATAATTTCGCTAACTTTCGTTAACCTCGGTTGGACTTTTGTCGTTTTAACGAGTAAACTTGAAATTCGAGAAGAAGTTTTAGTAAAAGAAATTGTGGAGTTCACCAATTTAGTTCGTAGGTATCATTTGTAAAAATAAAATATCACTTTGGCGATCTTGTGGCGACACATTTCTGTGTCTATTCTTCTAATTGATTTTATTTATATACAAGTAGGTAGTAACATTGCTCGAAAATAACATCTGTTAAAAAAAATGTAAATACCATGCCATATTTGACCGTTAAAAAAATATTACTGAACCATATTAAAAGTCCCCCATAAAGTCACAACTATCCCACACTTCTAATGCCCTACATTTCCAACCTTGGATACTGCCATCATGACGAGCTGTTTGGTTTGTCGAGACAAAGATCTCGACTTTTCGCTCCTAATTATATTTAAAAAAATCCATATTCAACCGTTGTCTCAAGTATTTTCCACAGTCCAGTCTGATATCATTAGAAACGGACATTAAAACAATGCTTTCAATGCATTTGGCCGAACGTGTACTCCGAGAAGTAAATCAATGGAGGTCAATGCTATAAACGTCAGAACCCTTTTAGCTTGCTTGTAGATGCTGTTAGGAAAATAGTGAAGCTATCGGCTGTGGGCGTTTGATGACGTATGCTTTTATTTTAATTAGGGCTAGAAATATCTGTTCTTTTGTAGTGTTTTAGTGTCGTAATCATTATTAATGACGCATTAAATTGAATGACATTTATAAAAGGACCTTTGTCTGTACGGATAAGAGGGATAAAAAATAACAAAATGTGCTCAATTAATTCAAATAGTAAATTCCCAGAAAACCAAAAGAACTTTAACACATTTACAAATCTAAATAGTCTATAGTGTATGTGCACTACACATTTTAATAAAATAATTTTAATGTAAAACGCGAAATGTACTTGTAAACTTATTCACAAATTCTTGTAACGACGGCCCGACGTTTCGGATGCTTTGCAGAAGCCGAGGTCACGGTGGGAGTTTAACACAAGTTTAACTAACATATTTCGCGTTGAACCTTAAAAAATGTTATTTTTATATAATAATTTTAAAGTTAGTATACGTAAATATCGGTGTTCACCAAACACTAATTACACTTAAATCACCAATATCAGTATAAAAGATTTTGCGTAAAACGCAACAAACAATGAAGAATACATCAACATAGCTAACATCTCTGTCCCCCTTTGTCGTAAAATGATCATGAAATTTATAAGAAAAGTCCCACTTTTATACTCTCAAGTGCAATTAGATCTCACGCAAGCACCCGATATACGATCGAAGCTACAAGGAACTTATAATGAAACTGTCAAAGAATTTAATAAAAAAGCATGTCTACCCTCACTCCGTAATTGAATTTCCGACGGTCTCAGAGAGACTGATGCAATTACATTTATTACCTACGGAGACTCAAGAAAGCCGTGTGAAGCGGAAAATTAGCTCGGCTGCTTTTTAATTCTTACAGGAGCCTTGGATACTAAGGCTGTTGTCTAATATAAGCGCAGTCTTCAAAAGCGTTACGCATTAGTTGCTTTTAATAAAATTGTGTTCTTGTTGTCTCCTTTACACATTGTAAACAATACGGCAACACCGCAATTAAAAAACATTACATCTTAGACGAGAAACATCACAACACCCACCACTGACAACACGTCACTGACTATGGACCGTTACTTTATTACTACATAACTTTTTTCTATGGTTTGGAGACTCGACTGGGATGGATATGGCGGGAAATTTAACGGAGGAACGAGATAGGATATACAAACTACCCTCGAGAGCGATAAAGACGAGTATATTTTACTTATTTGAGCACGGGGGCCACGTCCACCACAGATTGACTCCCACATTTTGCATGGCGAGGCGCAGTCAATTAGAAATTGACCCGAGTGACCCAGCGGGTACTTTAGCTTGCCTGGAAGAGGTCGCTACTTAGCGATAAGGCCGCCTTTAATATATAAGTATAATAAGATTTTTTCTCATTAATACGCATTTTCTGTGGTGTGTTTTATAGATATTAAAGTAATAATAAATAATTGTGCAGACTTACTAACATATTCTAAGCTTACTAAGCAAATTTAAGTTTTATTTATTATTATAACAGTTACTGTAAAACAAGATGGATATATATTTTTGACAGGTTCGTTGGTCTAATGTTAACAATGTATGGCTAATAATTAACAGGTCGTGGGTTCGATCTCCATTCTCCACCATTCGATTCGAAACATGTTGGAATTCGTCTGGAAATATGGAAATTAAATGGGTGGTAGAAATATCGAAATTCCGGGTCAGCAATGTCCCCACAGACGAAATGTTTAAGGTCGACAGAAATAGGTACAAAAGCAAATAACAAAGTTACTAAGAACGAAATTAAAGTAGCACTAATTTAAATAAAACACTTTAACGGTTTAAAACGCGATATATTAGTTAAACTTATTTGAAAATGATGCATTTTGAATAACTGAACTTGAACTATTACTTACGCCCGGACTTTTGAAATTGCCTGTAACATAAGAATTATAAAACTAATGTCACCGTTTTATTTGTTTCAGCACTCGCTTTAAGCGCTACCTGTTAAGAAGCGAAAAAGACCACAGATTTAGAACAGAGCAAATACAAAAGACAAACGCAAGATGTTGGATCACCTCACTACTATTACAGGACTGCTAGAAAACAGGTTTGGTTATATTTTGTTTATGTTAGCACCAGTGAGCATGGCTGCTGCAAAGCATCCGAAACGTCGGGCCGAAGTTAAAAATCATTTTCAAATAAGTTTAACTAATATATCGCGTTTTAAGCCGTTAAAGTGTTTTATTTAAATGTGTACTACTCGCGTAAACTATAGACAGTATTTAGTAGCACTAATGTCCTACTTTAATTTCGTTCGGATCACGCAGCACTATCCATAGACGAAAAAGCAGTCTGTGGATTTCTGAATTTTGTTTAAATGTTGAATGGCTGGATATTTCAGCTCCCATCCCAAACCCATGCTTGACTGACCTCGTTTATATTAAAAAATACTTATTATTATTATATGTTATATACTAATAACACTGATCACTGACAAATAGGATCAAAAATACAGCTTTACGCTGCGTTACGCGTTATGCTTCGTGGCCTACAGCGTTTATAGGTAACTGAAGCCTTATACTGATCTTGTTTCGCTTATTAGGATGTATCAGAGACTAATTTAATTACCGCTCCTTCTATATTAATTATCCCGCTTTCACGGGACGCCTTTGATAATTTATCTCGCGATCGTTTGATCAATAAACGCTTTGTAATATTGAATGAAGTACGTAGATACTTTGAATTACGGCAATAGTAGTATTTGCCCCATTTCGTGCGGCACACACACTTGTGTCTTCATTCTTGTATATATGTTAATAGCCAAATAAACTATATATATACATGTTATCTTGGCTTGGGTACGCTTCAAAAGCTTACAAAGTTCGGAGCCAATCGAGATACATTTTTATTTATTTCTGTTTCTTGCATAAATGACACATCCGAGATCGTGAAAAATACTTTGTTTAACGATCAGCTGTATATCTGTGACGCGCCATTACTATTGCGCGGTTGTCATCGAGTGTTTTCCTCGCTTCCGACAGATGGCGCGGTCATTTCAAATTGACAAATGTATGTTACGTGTTCCACAGTCGGAAAACTTTAAAGTCTTAAATATCTACGTAGGCAGTGGAAAACAAAAATATTATAAACCCAAACGTATTACAAAATGAAACTTATATTAAATTTATTCTTTGTTTTGTTTTGCATCCCTCAACCATCAAATCACTATGTAGCACAGCGATGCGAGGTAGGGTACATCTAGTAAATTATGAAGTATATACATAAACAACACTTACGTGCCCTGCCGACAATTTGCCGTCACTTCCCTGGAATCAAACTGAGGATATGTGACGGTTACTCGTTAGAGTTAACTATAAATCATTTAGTTCATCTATGTTGAGAAATTCTTATTAAGCGTAATTTTTTTATAAATTAAATTTGTTTGCTTATTTTATTTTTAACACAATTGTTGTAATAGTAACTATGAAGTACCGAATATGCGCACTTATAATAATATAAACAATAGGTGATAATCCATAATATGAACTAAATAAAAACCATAAGATAATTCTATTATAGAGGCGTTTACTGAATGGATGTATTTTTCCGAATCATTTTCCGCAGCGAGATTTTTCTTATTAATATGATGAATCTCAATTTTCCTCGTAATGGATATTCTGTGAGTCGTAGAAATATCTATCGTCTCTTGGCATTCATGGTTCCAATCATCCCCTAAATTCAGAAAAAGTACTCGAGCTTAGTACCTTGCATTGTATATTTCAAGAGGTTTATTTTTTTTTAAATAAAAAGCCTTAAGTCAAGCATGTTTTAAGTAAAGCACTACTTTTTTCTCTTCTTTGTTCTCAATAGAATGTGTATTAAGTATTATTATTATAAAAGCTACATATAACAATGAATTTAATATGTTTTATTTCAAAATTGCAAAGAACTTTAGTATTTTCGAAATTAATATTAAACTCAACTTAATTTTACAAATTTTATATTTTTTAAGTTTTTTCTTTTTTCTTTAAACTTGACATTGACATTTAAGTTATAAACTGTTACTTGAAAAACATACAAATATACAAATTGTAAGATCTTTCAGATTTATGCAAAAAAAAGCTTAACCTTTATTGCATAAAAGTTGTTACTTTTATTCCATATATTCCTACATTTGTTTAAAATTCTTATTAATACTATATGATAGGCAATTGAAAGACCATTCTATCGTAAAGTTATTTAATGCTATTTTACATCTAAATTATGTACATCACGGTTAGTTTGTTCAGGGTGCATCATCTCCTCGCAAGGGAAGATACTGGTTACGTCTAGTGTAATAAGCTCGGCGGTGGTAAACCGGTTCCACCAACGACCTGGACTGAGCCTGCTGCGGCACTTGCGTGTCATGTTGCCCGACGGGTATTGGAGTCACAGCGTACCCAGCAGCTATCAACCCAGCAAACTCTTCGGGTGTGTACGCTTTGTTATTTTTAGGAGGTGGCAACTGAGACCGCTGTTCCTCCAAATGGCTCTGTTCGTTTACTTGCTCAGAGCTCGACGCTTGGGCGATGTTATAAGGCTCTCTGTATTGATCTTTAGACTGCTCTATCCTTACGACTGGTCTGATTGCCTTTTTCGGAGTAATGCTCTTGCTCACATAAATCGCAGACAGAGGGGTCTTGGTCGCTTCAATAGCACGAGGCTGTTCTTTAGGTACTTCGTATCTTCTACCATCGTTCGACCTGAAAACTGGTCGGTAGTAATATTGCGTCTGCACCGGTCTTTGGATAGATAGGTTTTCTTGGAGATTCTGTTCGGGTAGAGCGCGTACTTTTTCAGGCTCCGGGAATTGTTTGAGATACGCAATCGGCCTCTCGTTTAGCACACGAGGTTGTTCTTGTCTGTACCGAGTGGCGTCTAATATTCTAAATTGTTTTGGTGCTTCCTGCTGGTATTGCAGGACACGGAAGTTCGGGTTGAGATTTTGGAGGTTGGGTGCTGGTACAACTTTGAGGCCTTGAACTTCTGGTCGTTCGTACAATGGTTGTTGGATCGCTTGTTGAGCTTGTAACGTTTGTGGTTGTAAAGTGACGTAGCGAAGAGTCTGCGACGCGCGTGGATTCTGTTGTACGGGTCGGTATTGTTGTTGCAATGGTTGTTGTTGCACATTTGTTGTCTCAATCAAGTACTGTTGAGGGGCGATCGTTGATTGTGCTGCAACGTGGATCTTAGGACGCAGTTTAGTTGGCTTCTTGCTTGGTTTTGTGATGTATTGTTCGATCTGGAAGTATTTCTTATTGATTAGAAACGCCATAGAAGCATGGAAAGAAAAATTGAACTATAAGCGATGTGACCTCTATACCACGGTATCTTTGGAAGATGACGTTTTCAATTTACACAAGTTTTTTTAATTTACCCATAATACATAGACTAATTAGCTTCTGTAAATTCTTTTTAAAATATATAATATACTTATATTATGTTATTTATTCTATATACCTGTTGATATTGTGGGGCTGGTGTCGGGGTAAGTAGCGGTGCTTGCGTGTGAACATAAGCCTGAGGCCGCTGCACCGAGTGGCCTAGTAGAGCTAGAAGATCCTGATCATACGCCTCAGCTGAGTGCGATCCCGTGTCACTGACTGATAGAGCAGCACCCACGGAAGCCTCTCCACCATTCGACGAGTAGTTGGGTCTAGCGATGACTGCGTGAGATGGTGGCGCTACTTGCTGCAATTGTTGTAATTGCTGGAATTAAAAATAATAATGATGATTGCTGATGAAATAAAAAGACTATTAAAAATATTCTATATCTAAAACTAAAAAAAAAAAATATAAGATTGTAAGAAAAATAATGCAATAATTGTAAAGTTTAAATTACAAATACGTAAACCCTTCCGTATTCAAGTAGTGTGACACAAAATTCAGTACCTGACGCTGTGCTTGAGGATCGACGTAATAAAATTGCTGCAAAGTCTGTTTCTGTTCCTGCTGCGGATTATGGTACAAATGCTGAAGTTGCTGCCCGCTTGCAACTGGCGCTTTTCTCTGGGGTTGAAGCTCTAGAAGTTCTTGAGCGTTTACTGAGAATACTTGTCCAGGGCGGTATTGTTCGTCTCTGCAAATTTTCATTTATTAATAAATGCTAATTAGGTATACCAGGGTAGGGAAAAAAGAGGATGACCTTGGAAATGATAGAAAGATGACATTCGGGAAGTGGCCGGAGTCACATGGACTAGAGTAGCACAAGATAGAAAGGAATGTGAGAGGTTGGGGGAGGTCGGTGCCGATCGGCACACGGATCTAGGTTTATATCAATAGAGTAGACAAAAAGTAGAGTAGTAGTAGTAGTAGAAAATGAATTGCAATTATAAGTAAGAAACAATTTATTGTCCATTTTTAAGTTTAGTTTTTGAATTTTGTTTCACTGCACGAATTCAACTATAGTCATATTCAGAAAAAGTAGAAGTAAGGGGTTTATTTGCTCTTTATCAAACTAATGTATATCTATGCATCTATATTATAAACTTTGTAAAAATATTTGTTGTTAATTTGAAGAGCTTATCTCAGAAACTGCTGCAAACCTCGTAAGACGTAAGCATACTTAAAACTAATTAAAAGTTTGAAAAGACGACAGCATTTACCTATTATGTTGACTTCACTAAATAGATAATCATTGACGATTTAAACAAAACTAGTAGTAGAGACTTATTCAAAATAAATAATAACAGGATAAATATTTAATAAAAACGAAGTTTGCCAAAAACAATTTTAATATTCCTTTTTTTCTACCTTTTGCGTCATTTAGAATCAAAACAAATGACTCCCACGAAGGGTCTATCATTTATCCAATTTTTGATGTTTTCAACCCTCTAAATTGCCTATAAACAGTTAAATAGCGGGACCCGACTGAGCCAATTATCCTTTCAACAGCTGTTGGTGATTTGAAAGGTTTGATTCAGAACCGTATTCAATCCAAAATAAAAGGTCGCGTCCAATATTTTAATTTAATCTCAATTTAATATCTCAACTGTGGTGTTGCCATGGTTTGGCTGAGAGCAAAATTATTTTTGTTTAAATATATTAGTTACCTTATTAAGAACTTATTTAACTACTGCTAGCATTTCGTTTTGCAATAGCCGATCATAGGGGACTGACCGAATGGAGAGCGTCCCTAATGTTAAATTCAAATCTGCTACCTAACTAACTAGCGCCATCTATCGTCGTAATTGGTATTTGGAAAAAATTAACTTAATAAATAAGTTAACTAATATGTTTCGCGTTTTAAATCGTTAATAGTGTTTCATTAAGATTTATATTAGAGCGTCAACGATCAATACTTATTTATATGTAGTCAGGACTCAAAAATCGTGTCTCTATTTAGTTCATGATTTCTACTAATGTTTTAGGACATTTCAATTTGGGTTTAACTTGATTATTATATGCAGTAATGCCTCAAATAATGTAATCTTGTTCTACATTATTAGATCTTTCAAGTGTAGTGGACAATATAGTTAAAATACTTTTGTACCTTGGGTTCTTATCATCTTCTTGTGGTTCTTCAACTGGTGCGACTGGCTCCTGAAAACAATAAAAATTGAAAGACGAGGTGACATCGTATAATAAAAATAGCAGTGCATACTTAATTATTGAAAATCGTTTCTAACAAACAGTAAAAGAAAAAAAATGTCCCAAAAAGGAAAGTGACAACAATAGTAGAGTCGTAGTTATAAATAAGTTCACTATATTTTGCGTTTAAAACCGTTTTGTTAGATGTAGCAGTTTCTGTGTATTTTCTGACTTACAGTATGACTTGACACCTGTTATGTATATCGCACTAATGATTATGTAGTAAGCGATCGAAGGAAGCGATAAAAACTCGACAATCGTGTCTAATTGTCAAATTGGCCATGTGACAAGAAGTCGTATTATAATGGAACTGTAATTAGGTGGGGTGTACCCGGTGAAAGTGTAGGAAATGGGCGACAGTCGTTATTTTAAACACGACACGAATTGTTCACTAAGGAAGTGTTATCGTTGAAACCTATTTCGTTAGTTTATATATTTCTTTAAATCTAGTGAGCAACACGTACGATATAAGTCAAATTGACTAACCCAAATACCATTTTCATTATTTTATTAGTTGTCTGATTAATTAAAAATCGATTATAAATTGAATAATTTACAACTCGGATTTTTAATCTATATAATGTAATCGTGTGTGTGTTATACGATGCCATAGATTGTATTATTTTTCTAATAAATTAAGTCCCGACCAGATGGACATCTCCTTCTATTAAGGAGACAATTCAAGAAGGACCACGACCACCACCAATACTTGGGTTATACCACGATCAACGAACCTTAGATTCTGAGGTACGCAGTTTAAACGTCGATCATACCCTAAAATATAAGGCGAAATGTATACTTTTTAATTCAACAAATTCTTTGAAAAACAGAGCTACCATGTCACTCGAATCCACTAGCTTTGACGGGTTGATCCCATGGCCGCAATGGGTTCGATCGCCACTGGACCTAAGGTATTTCTAATCAGTTTATATATTTTATGAAACATGATGATTAAATGCCTAGTAGGAAACTCGAAATTCTGAACGGCTCACTAACCATACACAGATGAAATAGCTGTCAAGTTAAACCGCAGTTCAGTTTTAATCTGTGGGTTTCTGAATCACTAAAGCCGAAATACTTGTTGGAATTTTATATGGCAGGGGTATTTCATCTTTCTTCAATTGAAACCCAGCCTTGCCTGTCCGCCTCTATCATAATCATGGTAGCTAGCTAAACTATTGCACCGCTGTTGGTATTACATGTGATGCTTCTTCAAACCCCATCTTATAATTGATTATACAACTTATACACTATGTTAGTGTAGCAACATCTTTGTGTAATGTGCAACTAATTCGTGATTTTGCATAGACCCAACTGCATCATTGAATGACCTTAATGACTGTAATTTTAAATTTACCGTTATAACACAGATTTGCTTTCCAACATAATATTTAATAGCAGAGCGATGATAAACTATATCTAATAGCACTTTATAGGTGTTGAGAAAATGTCATCTTTCATTATTCTTCCAAGCCAACGCAGTTAGGGCTGTCCATAAATAAATTCAGTATACACGTTAAACTATCTTTTTCTTATAATCGGATCTAATTATAAAATACTTATAATTGCTCAGCAAACTAGAATGTAGGTTCAAAACCTGAAAGAACCTGAGGAAAAATTAAAAAGTGTTTGGAAAATTATCCTAACAATCATTTTTAAATCTAATCTTCAAGTCCCGCTCGGGTTCTAATTTTAATTTAAATATTAAAGTGTTGGTGGGCACAGATAGGTATCTACCGTATGTGCCGTATAGACTAGATATCGGAATTTTACTTTACCTACATTAAAATCCTGTTTCTATCTAGTTTGAAATGGTATAAAGAATATAGTTTAATTCGAATCGCTACGTTAAATTTCGCTTGTGGCACCCCTGTCATGACAATATTCATTCAAATAACAAAGCTCCTTTGCGTAACAAAATCTATGGACGTTTTGTTTCTCTTTGTGTTAAAGACTTAACGCAACTTTACTCGCATGAAATAACTTTTAATTGTAAGCACTAAAGTACACTCTTTGTATTTTAACTTCTAAGCACCTTTGTATTAATGGAAGCGACGACTTAATTTAGTAGGGCTGTTACTTTACTTCTCAATTTAACAGGATCTGGACGTGGCTATTTACCAATCAAACTTGCACTTGGCCGGTTGTCATTTTTCAGCACAATTTATTAAACATGGGCCGCCCCTTTTCCCTACTTTATGTAAAGGATAAAGAGTTTTTAGTGATAGTTTTTTTTAGAGCCGATGAAACATCTGAGTCATGGTCTTCTGGTATTTACAACGCTTTCTCAGAATTTAAACCCAGAACTACATTGGACTATAAATAAACCAAAATGTAGCATATCATTGTTTTTCGGACTGTTCGGCCGACGTGAGCGAGAATATGTTCTCGACGTTCGGCCATCACGTGCGGACGGCATCATCAGGAGATGTTAGCTCCTCGATTGCTCGAAGAATTGAAAGATTTACACAATCTATTAAACCAAACTTGTTTTCTATTTTTTTATTCAACCAGCTTAAATGTATTAAATTATTTCATTTAGTTTGGAATTCTGAACGCCATCATTTATTTCACAAACATTCTCTCTTGTTAATTGAATTGGCTTTGTGTCTCAATATATTTGACAGCCCTGTTAATAACTTTTGTCTTCAGTATTTATGATGTACAATCATTTTCGTGTTGTAAAGTTTGTTTGAAACGCATAAAGTTACGAAACTTTGCATGGTTTTGTTATTCCAGTTTGTCATAGAGAAAGTGAGGTAAGTATTAACGAGAGCAAATCAAAAACAATAGGAAGGCAGATAAATAACTACTAAAGTTTTACAAGTAGATTACAACACAAGCCATTAAAATTAAAAAGAAATCTGGTTGCTTTGAAGGTTTGTTGAATGGTGGTCCCAGGGTAGAATCCTGGCTAGGATAAAATGTTATTTCGGCATATGAAAGGTCCGGATTTTGGCAGTCTACCTACTTATCAGCTCGTGTCTGGGTATTATTTCTAATTTGTAGTCGTTCAACCCACCCGCGTGGGAACAATATCGAAGGCATTAATAGGTGGAAATGGATAAAGTTGAATTAAAAGCCTATTTAGAATGATTATCGAAATATTGAATTTTTCAAATATTTTTTTATCCTTTATGGCATTCTTCATCATAGCTTCTAGAATATTTAGTAAAACATTCAAGCATTCCTTCCTTCATGTGCAAGATTTTTTTACTATTTTTTTAAAAGTAAAATAAAATACACGATTTAATTTTGTATCGATATTAATAAAATATTCTCTCATATTTCGTACACTACCGCTTTTCACTCGAGCTTTTTATTAACTGACATGAATGATTGCCTATTGATAAATTTCATTGCATGCCAAGCATCAATTTTATTTTAAAACACTATTGAAAACGTACATATTTCGTAGGCAACTGAAAAATTTTACGTTCTCTATACTTATTGCCAAATTTACAATAGAGTATGGGACGAACAATGCATATATATACAATACAATGATAGGCACTATTTATTGTAAGGACCAAGAAAAGGAACAGAATTTATAGATTACAACAAAATAGTATTTACAACAGTTTTATATATAATTAAAAAGGTCGAAAGTTGTCGATAATCTCAAACATGGAATTTATTTTTTATGTTATTAAAGTAAATCAAACAATATTCTTGTAGAGAGAAGTTATATTAACGATATAAAGAAGATCTACAAGAAATATAGACATACAGAATGATATATAAAATCCGGTTTCAGCAATGCTCGTTGGTGTATCAGTAGCAATGTGGGGCTAATAAAAGACGGATCGTAGTTTTGACCCCCAACGTGTTTCTAATTTTTCAACATATATTTTTTCTGAAAAATGTTGGACTTCTTTTAAATAAAACACTTTAACGGTTTAAAACGCGATATATTAGTTAAACTTATTTGAACCCGACGTTTCGGACGTTTTGCAGCAGCCGTGGTCACGGGGAGACGGGGGGTTATTTAAATGTGTACTACTCGCGTAAACTATAGACTGTATGTTGGACTTCGCCTGGAAGTCTGAATGTTAAATGGGTGGTAGGAATATCGAAATTCCGTCCGAGTCACGAATCACGCCCACAGATGAAAAAGCCGTGAAGGGCAACCACGTGTCGGTTTCAGAATATCCATAGACAAAATAGGTCAGCGCATCTTGTTTTGATGGTATAGGCTGTGGTTTTTCACAAACCGTTAAATGAACCCCAAGCTTCTCTACCTTCCTCTATGATTAAAAAACTCCATTGCTGGTAGAGGTGTCCTAGTTTATAAGTATAACAAAGAACGAACTGAATTACAAGCTTTTTTGGATAATAACGTGTAATTATTGCAAAATTAGAGGACATTTCGTGATGGAGACCAGCGAACAACGTGCCATTAGATCGCAACGACAAATAAACAGTTGCTCTAATGTCTCTCGTTCTAATGTCGATGATGAAATTGTGGTCGTTGTATCGAGTTAGGAAATTCTCTTGTCATTAGATGTATTTAACTGTTGTATTGACTATTTTATTTTTTATTATTTTATATGAATAGTTCCTACATTATATTTGTTAAATGTCTTGTCTTGTCCGCTTATGGTAATCAAACGAATTTTACCCTACTAACTGAGCAAACCTTGGTAAATCAAATGTTTGGTAATAATTATTTAACTTCAATCAAATTTAATTATCAAGATAAATAAAAGATAGATATACAATGGAAATTCTTTCAAATAATTTGTAGAGAAATGAATCTTTTACACTTGTATTTTTTCTCAGGCTAATTTTTGGAAAGATCAATAAATTTTCCCATTTTCCAACATTTACTAGTTTCGTCGCTCTTATTAGTCGCAGCGTGATATTATATAGCCTCGATAAAGGGTCTTTTAAACACAATATTTTTTTCAATATGAACCAGTTGCTCATGAGATTGCACAGATATACAAACAAACAAACTCTTTAGTCTTATAATATTCGTAGAGATGAAAAGTAGGTAGATAGAAGATTAACTATCAAATAATAGAGACTGTATATTCAGTAATTCTGGTGACTCACCGTGGTAAGTCTAAATAGAATTTAATAGCTTAGATAAAATACCGGTGTCAGGATAGACTGTGTAATAGGAAGGGACTTAAATGTAGGTGAAGTGAAAGGGGCCTTTATCGACAATAATTTAGATTCTATCTTTTGTTGGAGCATGCTTTGAACTAAGTAGCACGAGCTCTTTAAAGAATATTGATTTAAAAGCGTTATTAAACATTCCGTTCCATTTAAACAGCATATGTGTGAAAGCCCGTTTGCCCCCCGTGGGGCATGGGGCGAACACATTTCTGTATTCGTTTCAATGATCCGTACTTTTAACGGGCAAGTAGTTGATCAGACCTCTGTGCCCTGCCCGACCGAGACAATTTTTTATGTTTCCCCGGGATTTGAATCCAGGACAACAGGCGATGCTAGGCAATACGTTTAACCATTTGGCTATAGAGGCGGTCATATAGGCAACACTAATTTGAACAAATGTTGTTTCTCCCTGCCGTATTAAAAAAAAACAATTCACTAAATAATGTGAGTTTTATATAATTGGTCAAAATACATGTAATGTAACGATGTGAAAATTTAATATTGAGAAAAAGATAACATTTAAAATATCCTCAATCTTTATTATTTATTACACAATGCGTTGTCTACAGTTTACGCAAGATGCACACATTAAATTAAATATTTTTCAGGGCTTAAAACGCGAAATATATTAATTAACTGATTTATAATTTATTTTACTACGGCCCGTTTGGATGATTTCAGAATTGTAGATATGTTAACAAACATATTACAGCTTAAACTGTTAAAGGTGTTTTAAGAACATAGAGTTCTTCTTACGTATTCTTCTATTCTATTAATATATTTTTTCTACTACTACTGTACGATACTACTACTATTGAATGGGTAAAAATCCATTACATAAACAGCACGATGTTTTTAAATAAAACACTTTAACGGTTTAAAACACCATATATATTAAACTTATTTAAAAATTAAATAAGTTTTACTAATATATATCGCGTTTTAAACCGTTTAAGTGTTTTATTTAAATGTGTACTACTCGCGTAAACTGCAGACAGCATGACGTATAAGTAAAATGTGGCTTAAAATGTATAGTATAATTTGGTTAGATAGAAGTTATAGATGTTAGTGTCACAAATAATTAAATCATCGTCAACTCAGGTATTTAGTGAAGGGATAACGTTATCCCATGAGTTATCACTTAAACTGATTTAAGCTCGAAATGAAAATTTATGTGGTTTCAGAATCGTTGTTTATCGGGCTTAACGTCGTTTTAGACCGTTATACCGTCCTTCATCTGAATATTATGGTATTATAGAACAATATTATTATTACGTAATAAATGTATATTTTTTTATAATACTTCAGCCATATAAAATCAGAAATGCGCTGTCGGCCTATTTTGGCTTGTGATATTCGGAAATCCACAGACTGCAACTGAAAAGCTGCAGATTCGTGACCTAGATAAATATACTCGTACCACTCAGTAAATATCCAGATTTTCAGACGGTGACAAACATTTAAATGAAACACTTTAACGGTTTTTTTTTTAATTAAGATTTCAGGATCTCCCCTTTCACTTGGAAAGAGACCTTTATATTACATTTAGTTGTTTTGTTTCTGATTACTTTAAACGAGTATTATGCTGTATTTATCACTATTTCTATGGCGTTATCACCATTTCTTATATTCTGTTAGTTCTGTCGTTTCGTCTTAGTACTGGTTCGGCGATTTCTTTAGCTTTTATTTACTTTAACGGTTTAAAACGCGATATATATTAGTTAAACGTGTTTGAAAATTATTTTTAACTACGGCCCGACGTTTCGGATGCTTTGCAGCAGCCGTGCTCACTGGTGCTCACATAAACAAAATATAACCAAACCTGTTTTCTAGCAGTCCTGTAATAGTAGTGATGTGATCCAACATCTTGCGTTTGTCGTTTGTCTTTGCTCTGTTCTACGTCTGTGGTCTTTTTCGCTTCTTCACAGGTAGCGCTTAAAGCGAGTGCTGAAACAAACAAAACGGTGACATTAGTTTTATAATTCTTAAGTTACAGGCAATTTCAAAAGTCCGGGCATAAGTAATAATTCGCGATCTATATTCAAAGTGTTAACGCGAGTAGTACATATTTAAATAAAACACTTTAACGATTTAAAACGCGATATATTGTTTAGCAATTTTTACTTTGACGTCAGAGACATCCTCCATCTTTATAAAAGTAATTTTCAAACACGTTTAACTTATATATATCGCGTTTTAAACCGTTAAAGTTTATTTAAATTAACCACTTTCCTCGGCTGTTATGAATAATGTCTACCCTATCTTGAGCAAAGTAACCAAATAAACTTTAGTGGTAGTTAATTAAATAAATTAAACTTGCAAAATGTTCATGAAAAGTTAACAAAGAATAAACTATTGATAAGAGTAGTTCAATTACACTGTTAAAAATGTAATAACATACTAATTTTAACTGCTAAGTTACCTACTTTTATTTTTATAAATATATTGCTTAAATCAAAGTAATATATTTAAGCTATCTCTAACACTGGCCTACATGGCCCGGTTATAGTGATAAATTTATCACTTTGCCCATCGCACTTGGGCATTATTGATAATGCCCAATTACTTTGCGCGTAACAAATTAAGACGAAAGCCTGGAAACATGTTCGGAGAGCATCTTCAGTCCAGGTTATCATGACTTATTTGGAGGCGTTAAATCCCACCAAACTGTATTAGTCGAGTGGTGGATCTAAACTTACAGAGCCTCTCTCGGACATTGATAGGTTGAAATGTTATGTATGAAGTTTAATTAATTGAAATTTGAAAACTTTAATATTTTTTTACATGTTATACACATAATGGCCCTATATAGATTAAAAATCGAAAATAAATTAAAAGATTTTTCGCCTCGGGCGGGACTTGAACCAGCGAATGAAATCTTAAGCTGTGTACAAGAAGTGGCAAATAACCAATGACATTTAAATGCGAACCTTCAATTATATACCCCTGACAATTAAGAACACTTAAAGCGATGAATAAACACCGGTGCTTGGACTAAGTCCGGATTAAACCGGCTCTAAAAGGCTAACCTTAGACCTTTGCCATAAGCTACTTAGATTAAACGAAGGAAACTTTGTAAGGAAAATAAACTAGTAGGCGCCACAAAATGCTAGCTAGAGGCAATTAAATGTAATTACTTTCTGCTTTTACTTAGTGTTTCTTGTTAACTATTACTTAAATTATTTTGGTGGTGAGGTGTTTTCATTTTGTTCTTTAATATAGAGAGATATATATTTATTGTAATTTATATCCGATTGTAGACCGTTAGAATAGTTTTATTTAAATGTATATACATAGGTATTGAAGTTAAGACGAGTAGTAGTCATTTAAATAAGAAGACGGTTTAAAACATTAAATATATTAGTTAACTTATTAAAAATGTATTTTACCTATGGCCCGACATTTTAAATGGTTTGCAGAAGCCATGGTTATGGATCGTTTTAAATACGTTGTCTAATATTTTCCTCGTTTTTAACCGTTTAAACTGTTTTATTGACCAACATATTATACATTTTCTAGCAATGTCACTTTTAACGGTATTATTAGCAATTAGAAGGTGTAACTTCAATTTATTTATTTAAGTTTGATTAATTTCAAATTATAAAAAGCTAACTTATTTTCGATGACAAATATTTCAGGGCGCGGGTGGATCTAGAATTTTACAACCTCGTCCACAATTGACGTGGCAAATAGGTCTACAATTGGCTCGAAGACTGTTAATTACTATCGAATACATGCTTTAGTAAATAAAACACAAATTAGACTGAACGAATGAGATTGGCAGTTCAGAATGTCCTTCCTACTTTTCAATCGATACGGTACATCACAGTTATTTGTTCAATGATTGCCATTCCAGTAAACACGATAACATAATTACTTTATCACTTCTCTAGCTCTAGGCTAACACTAAAGTGCATTAAAACTGAAATTCCGCCATTACCACGATGTAGGCTAAGAGCTAACTAATCGAAGCTAAAACACTACAAGAGAAACATTTATTAAATACTAAAACTACTTCCATTTATTCCTGTAAATCAACTTCGACGGAAGAGATGGCACTAGCGCAGCAATTATAACTTTGACGTCAGAAACATCCACCATCTTTAGTCTCGCCGTGACAACGACTGAACGACGAAACATCAAATTCTAAATATCGCACCGTAGTTAAAATTAATTGTGAAAGGGTTAACTAATATATTTCATGTTTTAAAACGTTAGAAATATTTTACTTAAATACATTACTCGAATAAAGTGTAAATTACAGACCATAGTTAAATATATAAATGAAATATTGTTTTTGCCTTGTTACGGAATAAATGGCAAAAATGAACAGTCATCTCTTAAGCTAAATGTAGTTATCTCGCCGCATATTTGATTACTTTCTCGTTGCAATCAACAAACTCGATTTACGATGCTTTTCAATGGCATCAAACAAACGACGATATTATATTTTTATTTATCTCTGGATATTGTATTCTCGCAAGTGTTGAAAAAGACTTTTCATTTAAGTTGTCAATTGTAAAGTCTTTCTCTAATAATCATCATCTATTCGATATGTCTGTCTCTGCAGCTCAATGGTTTGAATCGCAGGGAAACAATAAATTGTTTCAGTCTGATTTGATCCGTGAAAATTACCTCTACTTTATGTAGATGCCTTTTTAACTCGTGTGATGTTCAAAAGTGTAGTTCTACATGAATAAATTTGACTTGACCTGTTTAAATACTGTCTATAGTTTACGCGAGTAGTACACATTTAAATAAAACACTTTAACGGTTTAAAACGCGATATATTAGTTAAACTTATTTGAAAATGATTTTTAACTTCGGCCCGACGTTTCTGATGCTTTGCAGCAGCTGTGGTCACGGGGTTGATTTTCGAGCCGTAGTTAAAATAATTTTAACAAATATACATCGCGTTTTAAACCGTAAACGTGTTTCATGTAATTATGTACTACTGGATGATTATAATTTAATGTAATAAAAATACTTAGAATTAATAACATTGCAACAGCAGGAACATGAGAACGGTGCCTTAACATTAGGGAATAATATCTCCTATTTTTAGTTGAAAATTGAAAATGTAAAATTGAATTCCCCGAGTCATGGATGCGGTTGAAGCCGAAAGTGGAAAGTGTTGCGTGCTGTAAAAGTAACACTTCCTAATCGCGTAGATACAATACGCCAGCGGTGACAAACATTAGGCACGCACGCCTTTTTATTAAAGTTTGCTCATTAGAATATGTCTTTGCTGATGTATTATTATTAAATATTTCCCCTTAAATTATTAACAGCATATATAGGTTTTACGCTTTTTTTGTAAATAAGCAAATCAACTAAATTCACTCAGTAAATGTGACTTTTTTTTAATTTCCTCGCATACGATATATAATTAATGTTTTACAGTTTAAAAAACATTTCAATTAATTACAAAAATAAGTAAATCGTTGAGACAATTTATACCATATTTATTTATTTGTATGGATATTTGTATCTCTTAAGTATGAGAAACTAATGAATATTCTAGATTTGTCGACCTTTTGTAACCGTACAATATAGAAAATGTTGGGAGCAACAGTAAAATAAATGGGCAATTATAGAGCTACATGAGATTCTGTGCGCGGTGTCAATGTGAAGGTCAGAATGTTTTCACTCGGTTTGGACATTCACGGTTTTTGTGCTAGGTCGTGAGTCTCGACGCGTTTATTGCTCCTAATAAAAGCAAGTATACACATTATAATATATAATTTAGGACAGCGACACGAAGAGAAAATTATGTATTATTCAGAACTTTCTATCTAGGATTGTATGATAAATCAAAATATTCGTCTCGATAGAAAAGTTCTGTGTATCAAACTTTTCTTGTGATTTTTCGTCGAAACAAAATCACTGACAGACATTGAAATATCGATGCGGATGCCGCTTCAAGACCCGCCTGCGTCGTGAAATTAATTCGATCTACAATCGATTTTTCATTTATATAATGTCATCATAAGAAAAATATTAAATATTCAAACGTTAAAGTCAGTAATTTTCATCTTGAATTATTTTAAGCTGCAGAGCATCAGACATTAAGCCTCATTACGTAAGTCCTAAGGTTGAAATTACATTGCCTCAGAGGTGCATAATATCAAAACGTTGAAAAATGTTTTAAATCCATTCTTCAAAAAGGTTGAAGCTTAATTAGTTAAAGCAACATCATAGAACGGCGTTGATGCCGGTTCAAGTCCCGTTCGTGTCGTAAATTTTTTTTACTCTGAATTCAATTTTTGGTAGACATTGAAAAATGTTTGCTCGTAGTAAGTAGAAAAAACAGCCTACTTTGCTTGTTTAGTTTATTTATAATATTGTAATTTATAGTATTTGACAAATGATCATCATTATGTTTTGTCCATATCTATAAGATCATTAAATATTACCTTTATAGACAAATTAAGTAATGAAGTTATTTCTTATTCTTACTTTACAAAATAATATGTAAAACTAATAAAAAATAAGAAATTTATTCATTTTGTCTAAGTTATTTTACAGCTTCAGACAGCCTTGAGACAAAAGACACATTCGGAGTTATTTTATTCTCTTCAGAAAACTTTTTGGCTTCAAACTCAACCGAATTATTTCAATGTCAAAGACGAATCGAGCATGTTCACATTTTTACCATAAACTAATTATAAGAATCTACATTTGGTACCGAATTTTTATTCCCTCGAATACATTATACGAAATATTATTACGTGATTTGAATAATTTTGACGAAATGTCAATAAACTTTAAATAGAAAATGTAGTCTTGCTTTTTTATTACAATGTTGAAACACAAATGTTTATAAATCAATACTAAATAGCTTCAAGTGTTTGGATCTCTTGAACTAAGTCTTGAACAGAGTTACTTGCCAAATCTTACTAAGCCTCCCTAATAAATACATATTGGCTTATTCTGTCTTAAGTATAGTCTGTGCTTTGTAGTGTGTATCCCCCGTGGTGCTTGCTTTCTGCGTCCGTTTTACTTATCAGTTCTTTTACAGGCAAGTTGATCAGACTTCTGTGCCCTGTCCAACCCAAATAATCAACCTTTGGGACCTTTCGCACAATGATAGCCAACACATTTACCATAAAGCTACAGAGGCGCTACTTCAAGCGAGTAAAATAATATTTATAACTATTGTGTTATATATTTCGCGTTTTAAACTCAAAGTTACGCTTTTAAATAGGAGCGAATAGAGAATAGACTTTGGCCCATACCCCACGGCCCAATTTGCGATGGATTTGCGCTTTACATGTCATTGAACTCCGTCGACGTTGAACTGGGACTTGCAAATCACTGCCGACTTCCGCGCAACTTTGAACTTTCCTTTGTGAAGTGTTTCGTGGTAAATTGATGCGACTCACTGAATAGCACTTCAGACTACTAAGGCCATCTTAACTAGTTAAATACGTACAAAACTTGAAGTGGAAAAGTATTATACGATATCGTGATCGATGATTGTGATCTATAATTATTTTATGATGAGCTATCAAACAATCTATTCGAAGATAAAAGTCTCAGTACTATAACATTTAACTTTGATATCAACCTATTTTGGCTTGGAAATTATACGACTTCCAATAAAACGATGGGCGGATTTTTGGGCTTGCCTACC